GCTCAAACCAGTTAAGAGACTCTTGTTACTCACGTTAACTAGTCCTGTTAGCAGTCTGAGCGTGAAGACACAATATCACACCGCAAGGCTTCTCTTGATAAAATGCTCCATCTTGTTGTCATCGGGCCGCTCGAATACATCTGGCAGAATTGATCACCTGTCAGCCATGAAGTAATTATTACATACTGATGCAGTGGAGCGCCGGCAGCTCATTTATACTCGGCCAAACGACCTAACGACCAAACGACATTTGTTCAAGCTGTGCATGAAATAGACATGACAAGTGATTTTTACCACAGAATCCTCCCATTTGTAATCAGTTTTTTAAAAGCTGTCAATAACAAACAATACAACATTCAGCAATGAAATGTCAGTCAGTGTGAACAGAGCTCAAACACAAGCAGAGCTCTGATAACCAAAAAATGGACCAAGACTCAAAATAAAGACTGTAAGCACTATATTAAGACTCGTTTCGTGTAATACAGTGAGTGGACTGTAAGTTAACACCAGTAACAGCAGCTCTGATTGAGCTGAACTCATCCTCGATGCTCCTTCATACTAAAGAGTGTGAAACACCTCAGATCTGCTTCAGACCGTACTGAATCTGAGCTTTTACATCAACAGCACACGTTATGAATCTCAGGCGAGTTCAGCATCTCGAGCATCAGACAGTTCCTCCAGATCTTTCTCTCACGAGTGGAGTTCGTATGAAACCACAGGCAAGATTCAGACGGACTTCAATTCACACAGAACTGACTCGCTGCGGACGCGACACGCACTCAACGCCCATCCATCAATCAAAGCATGATGTTTGCTAAAGGAGGGGTTTTGATCGTCAGCAGCACTTAAGACAAGAAATGACCGTGACGATAATCAAGCGATTTCAACATACTCTTGACAAAACTAAGAAACACTGCAAGATATTAGCAATGCACTGACTGCAATAATACGCCATTTCAGGCAGAGTAAAACTGACACAACAAAATATTGACTCGAAGGGCCGTTCACTCCAGAACGATCCTTCTGTCATCATTCACTCTCCGTCATGCCGCTCAAACCTGCTGACTTTCATTAAAGAAGATATTTTGAAGAACACTGGGAACCAAACAGCATTGGACCCCATTGACTTTTACTCAATGGACAAAAAACAAAACATCCTCTTTCGTGTTCTTAAAATGTTCATTTTACGTTCTTTAAACTGTGACAGAAAGATATTTTTTGGCTCAGCTATCCCCTTTTCGTCTGAATACAAAGCCAAAGCTGACTTTATGTAATAACGGCGCTGTGATGGTCCTTACCTGAGCTCCAGAGCTGCAGTTTCAGCCGTCTGGCCTTCCTGAGACGGCTCTTTAAAATGACTTACCTTTACCTATCAAAAACAAAGACAAAACTGCAGCTGCAATGAAAATCTGTTTATTCAGCCCTCGGATAATACACCAATAACCGCAGACACTGAGCGACTGACGGGTCGCGAGTCCTTCGACAGGTGGCTGGCAGCTGGAAATCGACCCTCGACGGAGTTTGTGAACTAGTGGAGAGAGATCAGGACTGAACTAGCCAAAGGATCCGGGATGAGTTAGTGCCACTGAGGGGTCAGGAGGAGGATAGGAGCTCATGTGGGGCTCGTATGTGGGGTTGGAGGTTAGTACTTTAGTAAAGAAGAGCAGGTCAGACACAAAAATGGTTGTTAGTACAGTTACAACAAAGGTTTAATTCGGATTAGTAACAGAATTTGGGTTTTAGTCAATTAGTAGAGCAGTCAATTGGTGAAATCCTTTGTGACTTGATTCCACGAGAGAGATTGGTCTGAATTGTCACGTCTGGTGGGTTTTGAGGTTAAGAGGAAACAAAATAAACCATCCAAAAGAGTCAGGACATGGGGAAGAAGCCATGCAGTTGAATGCGCAGATGAAGATGCTGTCGATGGGTATGAGCTGCGGACGCAACCGATGAAGGGCAACACAAACGCCTGAGCGAGAGCGAGAGCGCTCGCAGCTGATGGCGCGGAGAGAGTCAGAACGGAGTCACAGCACGCCACAGATGGAGGAGCGGCAACATTTAGTTGATTAAGGGGTTAAATCTGAAGGTGGGACACAACGACATGAGCACTTTGAGTCCAGAGATTTGCGTGCAAGCCGGTACAGCTTGTGCATCGCAGACTCCCTCTCGCTGCGGGTGGACGAGATGCAAGCGGATGGAAGCATGCACACACATCTGCTAAAGAATACCAAAGAAAACACAACAGGAGAGTTTCCACTGAAGCGTCACACACATGGGTATAAATGAGTGGAAACGGCTCTGGCTGTGAGCTGTCAGTCATCTACGGCTGTCCATCTGCATCGGGCCAAATAACACAATAAGCATGGCTCTCTCTGCCTCAGAAACATTGTTATTCTAGGGCACCGAACCCCTGCCAGAGTTCATTAGCTCTGTATGATTGCATACTAATGCAAGCGGCCCGGGCTGATAATCTCGTCCTGGAGGATCTGGCGGCGGGAGGCGAGAGACCTGTCAATCACGCTGACCCCAGATCAGGAGGCCTTAGAGCGGACCTACCGACTAACACAAGCACAAAGTCTTTACTGATGTCAATGATTTCTGTTAGAAGGGGCGTGGCTTTGTGCATCTCTATAGGCTCTGTTAGATCATAAATATGCATGAGTATGAACATACACATACAGTGGGTACGGAAAGTATTCAGACCCCCTTAAATTTTTCACTCTTTGTTATATTGCAGCCATTTGCTAAAATCATTGAAGTTAATTTTTTTTCCTCATTAATGTACACACAGCACCCCATATTGACAGAAAAACACAGAATTGTTGACATTTTTGCAGATTTATACCGAAGTAAGAGTGTTTCTGCTGAACGACGTCATGCCTGAGTTTCATTACTGAGTGAGCATCAGCGTTAATGAACACAGAAACTTTCCCACATGCCTCGCAGCTGTGGGCGGGGCTGTGGGCGGAGCTGTGGGCGGGGCTGTGGGTGGAGCCGCGTGTTTGACGAGTCCAGTGACAGGCAGTAAAGAGCTACAGCCGTGGCACAATGACGCACGCCAGTGTTGTTATTGTTAAGTGCAACTAAATAAAGCTGAAATAAAATAATGGAAATATTAGATGAAAAAAAAAAAAACTAAAACTAAAAATGAATAATTAAAAATGAAATTGAATTACTCAAATGACTAAAACTGAAATAAAAATAAATTAAAACTATTAAACATTGTTTTAATTAATTGAAATAAAGCTTAAAAATACATAAATATTAGATGTAAACCTTAAAATGCCTAAACTTAAATAAGTTTAAAATAATGAATAATTAAAAATAATAAATAAGTCACTAAAATGACTAAAACTGAAGTAAAAACAAATAGAAAATATTACAAAAATTACATGTAAATAAGTTTAAGCTTAAGTAATTAATATGACAACTTGAAATAAAAATAAATTAAAACTATTAAACATTGTATTTGTTCATTGAAATGACGCTTAAATAAAAATATAAATATTAGATGTAAGCCTTTAAAAACTTAACTCAGTTAAAGTTGAAGTACTAATATGACTAAAACTGAATTAAAAACAAAGCTAAATAGAAACAAAACTAATAGAAATGACAAAAGCACAAAATTACTAAAACCAAATTCAAATGAAAACGGAAAGTATACAAATGAAAGCTAATTAATTATTAAACACCGCACGAGTGTGTAACGAATCCTAAACCAGCGGCGGTTTGGTCTGATCTACAGTCGATTCTCTTCGTGCTGCCTGGCATCAATAATGCTTCCCTGGGAAGTGATGGAGGCCAGTGTGCTCCGGTAATAATGAATTGTTCATGTTTATTAATTAGGTTAGTTGTCCTATGGGTACGCACATTAATGAAATCATCCCTCACCCTGGCGTGAGCCTCCATGACTAAACGAACCCAAAAGCATGTGGCTTGGGTACAGTGAGGGTCAGTCCTGATCTGTTGAATAAATCAGAGCGGGTTCGGGATGTGTTTTATCTGAACCCGGGAGAGCAGGAGCTCCAGGAGAGACGGAGGTTCTGGCTGCCAACCATCTCCTTGAGCCGGATATCAAAAGAGCTGTCATTACCAGCTAATGGACCGTTGTGATGCTGAGAGACTTCCACAATATTAAAATCAATATCGGTGAATCGGAAATCGCAGACTCACAAAAAATACACTCCAGGAACATTTAACTAACATTCCCCGTTAAGTTACGAAAATGTCACTTCTGAATGTTTTCTGAATGTTCAAAATGTCAATTTAAAAAAAAAAAACGTTTTATCTTGGTTGTAAAAAATATTCCATTGTATCATTTTGCAAACATTACTGGAACGTTAGTTTTGAATGTTCTCTGAACGTCCTGCAGTAACATTTAAAGAACGTTAGACTGACATCCAACTAAAATGTTTCCGAAAACGTTCCATGAGCGATGCATAAATAATGTTTCTGTGCAAACGTTATTAAAGACCAGATAACTTTAAATTGACATTCTATTTACGTTCTATTGACCTTTGTAGGTTTGTTCTGAGGACGTTTCCTGTTGGCTGGGATGAGTTCCTTCCGTTCTTACTGCCTGCCCCTGGGCTCGTGTACCGTCACTCAGATGAACGCTCAAATCGGTTCAGATGGTAATAAATAATATTAGGTAAGTCAAGTAAAGGGGAGGCGCAGCTACAGTTAAAGTTTCATTGCGCTCTGTTGAGAAACATACGAATGATAATATGGACTGAGACTCAGCTCAACAGGAGAAATCAAGCGTTTGAGCCGAGATCTGTCACGGAGGTGCAGGATGGACAAAACAAAGAAAAAACCATAATGAATGAGACAGTGAAACCAAAGAGTGAGTATCTGTAGTCTGATCGCTACCTTGATACCAATGAGGATTTGTGTAGTCAGTATAAGCAAACAGAATAGAAATAGGAAACGGAAATCCAGGGCAAACCAAAGAAGAAGACAATTAGAATTATATCTACCATATAATGCAGTTTGTTTACCATAGCGTGTCCAATGCCTGAGTGCTTTAGGAAAAAAACAAGGGAAGGGAAAGAAAATATATAGAATAATGACAAATCGTGAAGTCAATAAAGGTCTTTTGAAGAGCGGCGGTCTTAAACCGGCCTTCGCTCTCTCTTTTCCTAATGTGGTTTTTGTGCAAGAGAATCAAAATCCAAATCCAGAACTAAAGCAACAGAATCTCTCCATCGAAGGATTTGTCAAGCAAAACAAAAACATGACAACAGTATTGTTATTTTGGTTAGTACGTCAGTTAATTCAGAAAACAACAGATGGCCCACATTCCGTGAATGACACGATGTTAGTCGTTTCAAAGGAACACAAACAAGTCAAAACCAAACAAAACCCAAATGAAACTGGAAGAACTTGAAGCTGTGGGGTTAGTAAGAAGACACAAGAGTTAGCGAAACCGTTCTCCACATGAAGAAGGGATACGTGGGATTGGTTGGGGGAGGGGCTGATCGGAGTGGGAGGGACTATATGAAAAGCAGTATTAGTGAGCATTCTGATTGGCTAGTCCTGCGAATGGGCGTGGCCTGTTTGATGGCGGGGCTCTTTACAGGCAAATTTGGCCAGACTTGGGTTTTGAAGTAAAGCGAGAAATCGCTCGTCTCTGGCTGACGGCTGAAAGGAGGCAAAAACACAGCTGAGTTAAACAGTAACACATGAACCAAACATCTCATGTAACAGAGAAAGAAACACGCAGGGAAGACTGAAGCCATCCTGGACCTGGAAGAAAAGACAGCTGTGATTACAAAGCATCATCCAGACCTCGTAAAGATCCAGATTCTGATCCAGACCCAAGCCTCCGCACCAGTGCTCGAGTGTGTGTGTGTGTGTGTGTGTGTGTGTGTGTGTGAGAGTGTGTGTGTGTGTGTGTGTGAGAGTGTGTGTGTGTGTGTGTGTGTGAGAGTGTGTGTGTGTGTGTGTGTGTGAGAGTGTGTGTGTGTGTGTGTGTGTGAGAGTGTGTGTGTGTGTGTGTGTGTGAGAGTGTGTGTGTGTGTGTGTGTGTGAGAGTGTGTGTGTGTGTGTGTGTGTGAGAGTGTGTGTGTGTGTGTGTGTGTGAGAGTGTGTGTGT